TCCTGGTCTCTAGCTTAGGTGAAGGGTGGGCTGGGTGGTGTTAACTAGGGAAGGAGGAGAAGCAGGCTGGTTTCAGCGATGCTGGGCAGGCCCTGTGTGGGCAATGGAGTGTGTGCATCTATTGCCAGGAGAATTGTGGGGGACTGGGACATAGATCTGGGCACCACTGGTGTGAGGGAGGTCTCAAGTGGATGAGTTATCCTGGAAACAGTGGATCCCTGAAAAGGAAAGAGGACCCAGGGCAACATCAACACCAGAAGATGAGCAGGGGGCGGGGGGGGGGGGAGAGCAATATCCATGGCCTGTCGCCCACCATGGGAATGACCTTCCTCTTTGCATGGCACAGTGTGAGAGCCTCGAACTAGGTTGGACTTGGGTTGGATCTGGTCCTGCTGATACTGACACAGCCTTGGCACATAGGACATACCCCTCTTGACTCCATAACCCTTGAGCAAGCATAGAGGCTGAGTGTTACCAGACCTAGCATCATGCCAGCACACAGTGAGTTCCCAACAAAGTGACTTTTAATGCCATTTTAAAAAATGACCTGCACATAAAGAAGAAAACAAAAAATCACCGTTAAGTCCAAATACTCAGAATTCACCAGGGTTACCATTTGAGGGACTTCACACCACGTCTCTCTTTAGGTTTGCATTCAGATGAAAGACCTTATGGAGGAGTGGAAGGAGAGGTAGATGAAAGCAAATTTTATGAAAATACGACAATATCCTATTTGTTATTTCAAAATGAAAAGCATGAAATTTAATCTTCCTAGGATTTAAGAGAAAGAAGCTGAAATAAAATGGAAGAATAGGCAGAACTTAGATCAATGTCAACTCATCATAAGAGATATTAATCCCTAAAAGATCCCTCTAAAGGGAGAGAGCATAAAAGCCATCAAAGGGTGAGAGTCATTATGTTCTGTATTTTTAGCGACATGTTTCCATTTCTGATGTCATGGGTTGACTGCTTGGTGGCATTCTTAGTAAGTGCACTCCCTTCTCCCTCCACCCACCCCCCAATTTTGGTTGCTTACGTTATTTTTACTTTGACAGGTTTTATAACATTTCCATTCTGCTCTGCAAGCAGCGCTCACCTGGTTGCTATTCCGAGTTCTATTCTCAAATAAGTTTGAAGATCACCACCCCTCATTCTCACAGACGATCCACATTACTTAGTTATTAATTTACTGATTTTTTTTTCTTTTGAGCACCTCTTGGTTGGCAGGGGGTAGTCACTGCACGCTACTTTCTGGAAGCGCCTGTGAGTGTTCATTTCCTGAGTTCTCTTGTGTTAGGAAAGACCTGGCATTACACCTGGCTGGCCACTTGGCTGGTGTGACCTTCTTGGGCTACGTTCTTCTCTTTATATTTATGTTGCTTTCTTTTTTTATGGGGGGTTGGCAGCACCTGACAACTAGTGTCTCTTCTTTTATTCTCTATTCTGAACCAGCTGAAAAGAGAGGAAGAGCTGATATTAGAGAATGGGTCCTAGATGCACCAAACCCCAGATTGAGACATCCAGGGCTGGAGCCTGTTCCTGTGGAATTTCTGGCATAACGGGGAGTCGGGAGCGTCCTTGCTCCTGAGAGAAAGGAGGAAGGAGGATTGGGCTACAAGTGGCCCATTTTCTCCCTTCACCTCACCACTCAGAAGTTCCTCTGCCTCCAATATGCAGGAGCAAGGGTGGCCTGGAGCTTTCTCCATACCAGGACTCAGGATAAAAGGAAGCCGAATCTTCTTGTCTCTGTTGGCCTTGACCTCTCAATTTATTGAATCTATATTTCTAGGAAGTTTCAATTACAGCGTGAAACACTCTCAGGAACTCTGCTTCTACTTCTCAGGATATGTTTTCTTTCAAACAAATTTCTACATTAGTGAAAATATTGCAGAGAGGCAATGTGAACCAAGGACATTGGATGGCCTTACGTGACTGTAATTTAAAAAGTGGAGGTTCATGTATAAGTGGTGGGTCAGAGGTCAGACCAAGGAATGCCAAGAAAGAGTAGGGGTTGAAGAAATAAAGGCAGAAGGTACAGGGTATTCTGTGGAGAGATTAGGAAATAAAGAGAAAGGGTAGTGTGTGGGAGGGCGGGAGGTGTACTGAGGAATTTTGCAATCTAAAAAGGCTCACACACATCTCTAGGCGGAGGGGAGGAAGCCAAGGGAGAAGGAGACATTAAAGATGGCAGAGAGGGCCTGATATGGTGGTGTGCGCCTGTAGTCCCAGCAACTCAGAGGCTGAGGCAGGAGGCTTGCTTGAGCCCATGAGTTTGAGACCAGCCTAGGTAACATGGTGAGACTCTATTTTGAGAAGGGGGGCAAGAAAGAGGGAGATAAAAGAGAGGAAAGAGGGAAAAAGAGAGAGAGAAGCCTGGAGTGAGGGTACAGCAGGGGAGGTGGGCTACAGATACCCAAGGGGGGAACCTCTGGACAGAGTCTCCTGGAAGTGACAGAGGTGACCATGCAGGCTCATGGGGCGGGGCAACAAGAACTCCCAACTCCCCATCTTCCCACATCAGAATGAGGCATGGCCATTGGCAGGAAGGGCTCTGAGGTGGGAAAACTTTAGGACCAGTGGGGTCATGGTGTCCAGGGGAGCATGCCCATGAAGTCAAGGAACGTGAGGAGAGAGGATGGGGCGAGGCCATGAGGCTGGCAGCAGGGAGCCGGTAGCACCAGGAAGCAGGAGGGCCCTCGATATTTTGCCTACAGCAGACAATGGCGGAGAAATCTTCAGTAGTCCCTCTGCTTAACTTTCTTCTTTTTCCTGAAGACTCAAAGAAAGAAACCACACATTCCCACCTAATTCTAGGCCAACACCCTCCCTTTCAGTGAGGAGACTGATACCCAAGGCAACCCCCAGAGGTACTGAGGATCCAACCTCCAAGCCCTCGGGGCTCAATGAGTACCTGAGATGTCACAGCAGAGGGGGCAGAGCTGGCTCCCAGCACTCCTGGGCTTCCCTGGGAGTGTTGTGCAGGTGATTAGGACACAGGAATGAGAGAAGGGAGGATGTCGAGTTTCATGGATGAGGGTCTTAGGACATGTGCTAGAGGTCCCCAGAGCATGAGCAGTAGTCTTTGGTGTTCATTTAAGTCCAACTGTGGACATCACAGGTACCACAGGCATGCCATCCGCTCCTCTTTATTTGTTTAATAAGCAATTTCCTACCCACATACCATGTGCCAGACCTGGTACTGAGACCCTGTGTTACCTGGACGAGTAAAACACAAGCAAGCTCTGGCCCTGAGATGCTCACTGTCTGGTGGGGGACACAAGGAGATGTAAAGAGGCAGTAGCAGCACAGAGAGATGCCGCTCAAAGAGGGACTTCAGGGTGCAAAAGGAATGGATGCCACCCAGATCTAGGAGAGGTGGCAATCCTTAGAAGTTATGTTTGGAAGTCTTAAAAGAAAAGGGGTTGAGATGGATGGAGAAGACAGAATTCAAGTCCTGGTGGCAGAAGACACACAGGAAGGACCTAGGTCATGAGAAGAGACCAGGAAGAAGAGAGAGAGCAAGTGAGCTAGAGAATCCCGTGACTCCTTAGGACTGGGGTGTAGGGTGGCTGCTGAGACTGGAGAGGTAAGCAAAGGTCAGATCCCAGACAGCCTCAGATGCTTTGCTAAGTATGTGACTTTGGAAAGTTCAATCTGATCAAAATATAGAAAATGGACTGGGGTGGGGAGTGGTAGGGTTGGGCATGCAGTTAGGAAATAGAGAGCCAGAGTCCAGATGAGGGGTGATGAGGCTGGGCTCAGGTGGAGCCACAGGACCTGGTTACCACCTGGACATGAGGAGATGGATGCCTGTGTTTCTGACCTGGCCAGTGAGGAGGGACTCTTCAGAGATGGGCCAGACTGTTGGGGAAGATGGAGGTGGGAGATCCTCCTGGGGGATGTCCAGGGAAGGTCTAGTGGATAGCAGTCTGAGCTAGAGGAGACCCCAGGTTGGAAATGTAGGTGAGGTGTGACGTGGTGGTGGTTAAGGCCATGGGTGCCATCACCAGGACAGATCCCAGGAACGAGGCACTTAAAAGGTAAGCAGAAGACAAGGATCATGAGGCGACCAGGAAGGAACCATCGGGGTGTGGGTGGAGACCAAGAGAAAATGACCAAGAGGGGTGTTTCCAGAAAGGAGAGGTCAGCCATGCCCACGGCTGCAGGAAGGCCCAGGATGATAAAGAATGTCCCCAGATCAGAAGCTACAAGGTCACTGTCAGAAACAGTTTCAATGGCATCATGGGGGAAAGCCAGGTTTCAGAGGGCGGGGAGCTCAACGGGAGCCTGAGGGTTGTGCTGAGTGGAAAGGCATCCTTCTGGTGTCTGCCAAGGGTCGCTGCCCACACTCTGGACATTGCTGACTCTCCCTCTCCAGGTGAGCTTCATTTAACCAAGGGTCTTGAGAGAGCCTGTGTCCCCAAGGGCCTCCACTTATCTCCTGTCCTTCTCACTGGGCTTCCGTGGTGGCAGAGGGTGATGGAGCTCCTCGGGGACGGTTGGCACTCCAGAAGTGTGTTCAAGGCCTCCAGGCCATCTGAATAGCACCATGTGAAGCTGAGGTGTTGGGGACATTCGATCCCAGGCCTCAGCTATCACAAATCTAACACCTGTGACATTTCATCAGCTGTACCCCCAGTAGCTTCCTATTGTCTCTCAACTCTATAATGAGATGACTACTGCATGTCGAGGCTGAAGGAGGTCCCCCACATCTTCAGGCTGAAACGGAGGCCCACTGAGGGACAGTGATTTGCCTACAAGCTGAATGAGGGGCAGCAAGGGTGTTCTGGTCCCTGGGTAGGCCCCTAGTGTAGAAGATGCCCACCCAGAGACCTTGGTGCAAAGGAAGAGTCCCAGGTTCCTGTCCACTTGGCCTGAACTGGTCAGTGCACCTCAGGAGCCCTCCCAACACCAGAGGGGCCGCTAGACCCCTCAGGTCTTCGGGGCCTTTGGGAGCTCTTTGCTGATCTGCATCTCCCCCTCCCCCACTGCTACTGCAGGTACCGAGGCCATGTCCCTGGTGTTGACTTCTCCTTCGGCGCTCCCTACGGTACCATCACCCTCAAGTACTTCCAGGACCACCGCAATGCAGCCATGGATAAGAGCGGCTCTCCCCTCAGCAGTGGTGGCCACTTCCCCACCCTCTTCTCCCCCAACCCCAATCTGGTGCTGATTGACCGCTGGAAAACCTGGGACCGCTCCCTGAACTTGCCCAGCTACAATCGCTTCAACCTGGACGCCTACCGATCCAGAGAGCTTGCTCACTTCTACCAGGTGAACTGCCCTCGTACCTGCTGCCCCTGTTGGGGAGGGACAATGGCAGGGCTGGGGCATGTTGATTTACTTTCTCAGAGCCCCTGAGCCAGCAGGGAACCTGGGATTTGGGGAAGGGGGAGTGAGGGGGGCCTCCGGACTCTGCTTCCCTGACCTCCACCACCCAGGGGCTCCCGTGGATCCTGTTCCTGCTCATTCCCACTGCCACTGGAGCTGGGTCCTCCGGAGGTGTTCCTGACCTGACATCTGTCCCTTGTAGTACCCAGCCGTATGAACCCCTGCTCACTGAAACAAAAGGCCTAAGATTCACCCACAGGATGAAAATACATGAGCAAAGGCCCCTCTGAAACTCCCTACCCTGGTCCAGTCTACTGATATACCCACCTGGACCCTGTGCCCAGTGCACCTCCCCTATCCCCAGGTCCTCTGAAGGTGAGCCCCAAGCCATACCAAACTACTTAGGGGGAGGAGAGGAGGAAGAAGCAGAGTCCCCAACACCCCCATTGCTCTGTCCTGCTCCTTGTGGCTCTGGAAGCCATCCCAGTAGGGCCCAGGGGGCCTGAGCTGGACTTGACCCCTTGGTGGGGTGTGGGCTTATTCGGTGCTGTTCCCAGAATGCTACTCTCTGCATCACTTTCTGTTACAAATGTCCCTCTCAGATGGATTGCAAGGACACAGGTGCCACCTGGTGCCAGGGCAAGGGATTTGTAGGGATAAGGCAGCTTCCTCAGTGGCAGGATGATGAGATGCCCTCAAACTCTGAAGAGCCATGGGGCCATCTCAGTGAGTCTGTGACAGCCCTTCCCTCCATCCTGGCTCACACAACAGAACATGCCCTGACTAGGAGGGGAGGAGAGGGAGGAAGAGAAGCTTATGCTGCTGGTGTGGACAGCAGGTGTGCATGCCCCTGCTCACCTGGGGTTTCATACCTTATCTTAGCTGGTCCTTGTCTACTCTCTGCAGCAAAAGTGGTCTCTCTGTGTGTGTGTCATTATCCCCATTAGATGGACAAAGAACTGAGGCTCAGAGAGGATATCAGCAGGTTAGCAGTTGTGGTGGGACTCCAGGAGCTTTGGAGACTCCCCCAAGGACATTAGAGGAGACTGCTTTGCGTCTGCCTAGGTACAGCCTGGCATGTGCCTAAAGTCACTAACAATCTGTCATCTTTTCCTTGGTCGGGCTGCAGTTGGCACAGCAGCAGCGGAAGTACTACCTAGACAAGACCGGCACGGTGCCTCGGGTCCCCTACTTTGTACTACCTGTGAGGGAGCAGGAACGGTACCCCATCCCTACTGATCTGTGAGTGGCTGCTCTTTCCCCATCCACGCTGACACATCTTGAACAAACACCCCCCCCCCCCCCGGCCCCTGCTCCCACCCAGGGTTTTGAAGCACTTTGGCTGAGACCTGCGTTTACAACCTTGCCTTAAAGTGCCTGCAGTGCAAAGTGGCAGCTTCAGAGCAAGGGAGTCCTGGCTTCTGCAGCCTTAGGAGGGATGCCAGGAACCTGAATGGGCAGAACCAGGAAAAGTGCCATCCCGATCAGATGCACGGGGAGTTTAGAAGCACCCTCACTGATCTTTGGGGACTCTTTCTCTGGCAAGGCCAACTTTGCAGCTTCACGGGTCCAAATGTGGAGCGGCAGGGAGCTGCTGCCCTCTGGCGGACGCGGAGGGCACTTCAATAAATGAGGAATCCGTCCCCAGCTCCGCCCAGACTGGGTTTGTTCTGGGCGGGGCTGGAGAACAATTCCCTCACTTGGGACTTGGAAATATCTTGAAAGTTCAGTTGGGCATCCAACAAAATATAGAAGTTTCTCACAGCCCATCCTCCACATCTGCTTTGACCTGGGAGGGCGGCTTTCCTCCTAAGGCCAGCACTCCGCCCTGCTAGCTGATCCAGGCTCCCTCCTGCCACACAGGCACTGGATGACAAGGCCACACCGTCATGTCCTGTGGTAGAGGTGGGAGGGTGGTTGATGCCTCGCTAGCCTCCCAGCCCGTTCCTTCCCCGCCCCTCACAGCCTGACTCTTTGGGGAGGGACAACGTCAGGAGGTCAGTGGAGAGATTTGAGGATTCCAAACCGTGCTGACCCTATCAGGAGCCCCAGCCCTCGCTACCTTGTTTCAGATAAAGCCACAGCTGTTTCCATACAGTTTAATGGATTTTTAGAGACACGACTTTGTCTGCCTCTGGAAGTGCCTGTGGGGTAGATGGGTCTATTTTATAAACAGGGAACCTGAGACTCAGTGACTGCCTTGGAGCCTTGTGGCTGGATGGCCTGGCTAGCTGAAGGCCAGGTTTGAAAGGCAACTGTTCCTCCTGTGGCCAACTCTAGACTCTGGATTGACCATCTCCACTGCCTGGGATAGCTCTGGGTCGGTGAGTCCTTGGAGAGAGTGAGCCTGTCCTGAGGACAGGTTGCCTCTTGGGACCTTCTTTCCAGGATGTGCCCCTCCTGAAGCTGCAGGGAGCTGGTAAAAGCCCAGCTCTCTTTCTTTTCTAAAGTGCCGGCAGCCTGTGGTGCTGATGGTTCCATGCTCATGGCAGATGATCAACAGGTGTTTCAGCTTGAGGGTTTGGGGTCAGTTCTCTTGCCTGGGGCAAGTCTCTCCCCTCTGGAATTCCATTCCCATCACCACCACCACAACCACCACCACCATCACTGTCACCACCACCACCACCATCACTGTCACCACCACCACCACCACCACCACAACCACCATCACCATCATCGTCACTGTCACCATCACCATCATTACTTCTTGTAACACTTGTAGAGGATTTTCTTCTTGTCCAGTGTTATGTTAGGTGTTTTGTATGCAGTAGCTGGTTTACTCCTCAAAAAAAAGCTAAGAGGTGATACCAATAGTGGTCCATTTCCAGCAGGAGATAGGGTCAGAATCCATGTCAGTTCTGTCTGACACCCACGTCCTCATTCTTAACCACTGTACTACTATGTAAACACGAATCACTTTCCTCTCAAGTCAGGGTGACTCATCAGATTAAACCAATGAGCAGCCAGCAGGGCCAGCCCGGGCTGATGGTGGGCATGGCCTGTTGGGCCTTCTTCACCCTCCCTCCTGGCCACACTGCCTGACTCCAACTCCTTCCTCACATCCAGGCCTCCTCTGAGCCCAAAGAAGAAGTGGTACCTTTTAAGAAACTCCCCTGAGAACCTGAGGACCTACCAGACCTACCCATCGGGGAAGCGGGTGTCTGCACAAGAGCGGCAGAGGAGGGACTGCTACTTTGAGTACAGATCATAATACCAGTGGCTGACCCCTGCAGCCTCAGCCTGACTAGCTTGGCTTGCTTGGAATAAAATCTTTCGCCACGACTATCCCATGCACTTCTCCCCTGGGTCCTAGGGGCATTTCACCACGATGGGAAAGTGCCCCGAGGGTCGCTCTACAAGGTGTATTAAGAGTCTATGGAAAATTCAGCTCAAACCCAGGATCAGCAGTGCCCAGCTGCATCCTGGGGCAGGTAGAACCAAAGGGGAAAGGGCACCCAAACCTTAGTGGCAGGTCACTCAGATACATAGACCTCCTTTGTGTTTCTACTGGTGTAATCAAGGAAGCTGAAATGCACATCTGAAAATGAGGGCAAAGTTGGGCTGGGGATGTGGCTCAGTGGTAGAGCGCTCGCCTCGCATACGTGAGGCACTGGGTTCGATCCTCAGCACCACATAAAAATAAATAAGTGAAATAAAGGCATGCTATCCATAAGAAAAAGTGGCCCCAGAACAATTACACTGGGTGTGAGGTGGGAAGGAATTCTCTAGGGAGCCCTGGCTCAGCACTGTTTGACTCATGTGGTAACTTGTGAGGAAGATGTTCTTCACCTCAGTTCACCGATGAAGACATTGTCCAGAGATGTTGAGAAAGTTGCCCAAGCACACACAGTGAAGAAGGGATCCAACCAGGATTTGAACCCAGGTCTGTTTGATGCCTGAGCCCTGGTTTTTCTACTATATACTCTACTTCTGACCTATATGGAGACTGAGGGGCAGACTTTGGGACCCTGAAGGACACTGTGGAGGAGCATCACCTTAGAGAAGAAGGTGCTTGAGGCAGTTACTTCTTGCATTCTGCCTGGACTGACAGAGACAAGCTGATTTGGCATCTACCCTGAGGCCATTTCTAGAAGGGAGTGGGAGAGAGTGACCCAGGACTAAGCTACTCTTCAAGGATGCTATTTCAGGAACCCTCTACCTGCCCTGCCCTGGACTGGGTGTCCGGGTGGCCTTGGAACGCCTGGAGTATCTCCTTTCACTAGGTTGCTTTTTCACACCTCCTGGAGTCTCCTGCAGGGAGCAGGACACGGGTGACAAAGTCTCAGTAGACAGGCTTTAGGGCTGGACTCAGGAGTGCAACCACACTGCAGGGCTTCCCCAAAGTTCCACCTTCTGGATTGGATTGAGAGGCCCTGTTGCCCCTGAATGAGGAAGTCAGGACCCAGAGGCAAAGGGACTACAGCAGGGTTCAAGGGCACGTGAGGGTGAAACAGCCTTTCCTCTGTAGCCAGAGTTAACCACCTTCCCAAGGACAGGACAAATAAGGAAAATCCACGTGCCTATCAGGTGGGTATCTGATGACCCTGAAGTCCCCACAGGGGCTGCTTCTGTGTCCCAAAATCCCTGACCAGCTGAGCCCCCAAGTGTCTCTGGAGTGGCCAAATTCATCCCAGCACTTGGCTGAATAGCAAAGCAAATAAACCCTGGTTTCTGGTCACACGTGGTCTTATCCCAAGGGCCTGGGGTTGCCAAGTGGGGCCAAGATGTCTTCTTCATGGGATGAGGACAAGGAAGCCAGGCGCCAGCTGGAATGACAGCTATGTGCACATCTCTATGCCACTCTGCTCTGGGAGATGCTGGGTGGAGAAGTCCAGCAAAGGGACAAAAGGACAAATTCTTTCTTAATGAACTTCATCCCACTTGGCCTGGTCCCCTGTCCTGACATGAGATTTGAACCCTGGCCTCAAAAGATTGCCATCCCAGCTTGCTCGGCGTCGTTGGCAAACTGAAGCCTTAGAACGAGCAGTTCTGAAGGCCACGTTCTTGTGTCTGACCCTGTGTTCAAAAAGCAATGGATTAATGGGCTAAAGAAAGGGTTTTCCTTTGCTTTATTTAGAAAATAATATTCGGGAGGAGGCCAAAGTCATGTTTTAAGTCAGATCTCAGTGCCTGGAGGGGCGGGTTCCAGGGGTCTCCGAGAGGCTGCTGGATCAGGAGTTTGTGGCACATCAATATCCCCAGAAGTGAATCCGAAAGGAGCTGAAAGGAAGAATCCAGAGGCTCATCTGGAGCCTGGGGTTCTAAAGGGCCCTCCAACTCGGGGCTCTCTTTGGTCCTGGAGTCCTCCCTAGCCCACCTCTCATGTCCCTTTCTCTGGTTAATGGCCCAAATGAAACTTCTTTAAGATTCTTTTAGCAACACTAGAATGCAAAAAGTTTTAGAACCTGATGGTGCTGGAACCAGTGGAAAGAAATGGGATTGACTCAAAGAGAAATACAAGGCAGACTGGATGCCAGGTCCAATTTTGTGTAGTGGAGGAAGAAGAATTACCTTTGATTGGAGTGGCCCCCAAGTGTGTATCTCTAGGGTCCACCCAAGCTACAAGCCCTCTGGCTGCCATGTTGGAAAGGGGAACTCTGGCCCCCCATCCAGGTATATGGAAGCAGAGAGGACCACCTGAATCAACTGGGCCAATCCAACTCCCTCTCTCTGGAAATTCAGAGTTAGAGCTGAGAGTGATCACTGAGGAGTCACTGAAGGTCATTCAAAACCAAAGAGAGAGAAACCTGGCCACTGTAGGGAGGCCATTGAAGGTCTCCTGTCTGAAAAAGCAGAGGTTGCTCATTTGCAGAGGAGTGAGGTCAGAAGCAGAGATGCCCGGGGAGAGGTGGAGGAGCAGTTATTGGGGGGCTCCTGTCCAGGTGCTCTATGAGGCCCAGCTCTCTATTCTTTTTTTAAAAATAATTTTTTATACCTTTATTTTATTGATTGATTTTTATGTGGTGCTGAGGATCGAACCCAGGGCCTCGCATGTGCTAGGCGAGCGCTCTACCCTTGAGCCACAACCCCAGCCCCTCTATTCTTTTTGAATTGGTTTATTAAGCCATCTTGAGTGGGCATTCTTCCCTTCTATCAAAATCTCCTAGCTTATGAGACCAGGGGGCAGAACAGGGGCAGACGTAGAAGACACTGGTCAACTGATGCTACCTCAACAGCCTTATAAGGGCTCTTTCATCCCAACTCGGGCTGCCTCTAGAGGGAGTGCACTTCCTGTAACTGAAGGATCCCCAAAGGACTGGAAAACACAGCCAGGGAAGTACGGAAATGGCCAGCCATCTTCAGGGGATCCGGACCAAACAAGGCCATTAAGTCTCCTTCCTGCTCTCGTCTCGGAAGTGGAATTGGTTGCTTATCTCATTAAGTTTCTCTTCTTCTATGAGCATCTTCCAGCAGCACCTTCACTTTCCTGTACAAATCCCCACCTTCCTGCGACCACAGGGTAACTATGGCAAAGGCAAGCTCCCAGGTCAGTCCTGGAGCGCAGTGGCTCTTGGGAGAAGGTGTGCTGGCCGCCCGGGGACTTCTGAGGTTGGACCACTCCCATCATTTGCAAAGCCCTGGAATCCAGTCCTCCCCTCTGGGTTTCAGGTCCCCCGGGGTTGCCTAATTTCTCAGAAGCTGCAGCTTAATAATTCTGGAAGAATCTGCAAAGTGCCTTGGAAACTCGTGACTCCTTGGGGAGACTGAGATGCTCCACTGGCCAAGGGGAGACTGGGGGCCCTTCCTGAGCCCTCCCCCACCCACCATGCTGGGAACCCCTCCCCCTCCAGAACTCCTTACTTCATGAAATCTGGAGACTTGAACATTGCGTGTTCAAACTCTGAGAAGGACAGCATGTTGTCATTGTCCAGGTCTGACTCACTCAGGACCTGGCCAGGGGAAGGAGGCTGAGGGGAGCCTGGTGACAATGAGGCGGGGCGCGGGGGGAGGAGAGAAATGCCCATGCAAGGGACAGCATATGCCAGGATCTCTGCCAGGTGCTTACACTCATCTCCTGGGGCCCTGTCCCACCTGTGAGGCCGGTTCTCACCCCTCACCCGACCCTCTGAGAAACAAGGCAGTGTGCCCTAAGGATCCAAGATCTCAGGGGCTGACTCTCACTCCTAGGAAGATTCTCCAGCACCATCTTGATAGTGAGGGCAGGGGTTCCTCCCACCTGCCCCATCGCCTGGTCACAGGCAGGGGCCCTGCACTGTTAGGGGCTCAGTCAGGTGGGAAGGTGGTGGTGATGCTGTCTCTTTCCTTCTAGTTCCCATTCAGACCAGAAACACTGGAAGGTTTTCACAGTCACTCTAGGACATCTGGACATGGTGTGGCTCTGGGACGAGGTGGGGAGGGGATGTTGTTATGTGTCCAGCTGCTCTTGGTCTATCTGCCTGCAGGAACCCATGTGGGTGGGAGGCCCCGAACTGGAGGGTCAAGCACATTGCTCTGGGGACCATGGAAGAGACTCGGGGGAAGGACAAACAATTGGGAGGTAGTTGCTTCCACCTATGTGCCCACTCCTCAAGGCACCTTGTGCGGCCCACCCCTGTGGCAGCCACCAGGGAATAAGTGGTCCAAAGGCCAGTGTGCCAATCTGCTTGAGGCTCAGCCTTGGGTCTCCTCCCAAGTGGGTGGTCTGATACCCAAGGGCTTTGAACCACAAGGCACCCAGGCCCTGCCCTTCAGCTCTCGAGTACACACGTGGTGTGCAAGGTCCATCAGCATGTCCTCAGACACGTCATTGATGTTCAGCAGTCGTAGCACAATCCTCTGCAGGTCCTCCTCATCGATGAAGCCGTTCTCATTAAAATCTGCAAAGAGGAGGTAGGTGGTGATGGGAGTTGTGGGCCTTGAGTCCCAGAGCCCAAGACACAGAATCCCATCAGCCTCTGGGAAGCTGAGCAGGGCCCAACTACCTCAGACGGGGGGACCTGGGCAGGCCCACAGGGCAAGGCATGACCAGATGGGCAGGCTATAGACAAATTAAGTGTTAAGTAACGTGGCAAAAATAACAGTCATTGATTGAGTGCATAATACACGCTCAAGTCTGTACCAAGAACTTGACCTATTTTAAGTCACTGAATCTTCACAATCAACCTTTTATTAGTCTTATTTTATATAAGTGGAGACTGAGGCATGGAGGTATCATATGGTTTGTTCACACTGCCATAAAGTGGAAAGGTGGGATTCAAACTCAGCTAGTCCTGAGTCAACCACGTGCTATGGAGATCTTCATCTCAGAACTCAGAGCCTTGTGTATGTTAGGCAGGTGCTTTACCTGTGAACTCACCCCTCATCTGCTCCCAGTGGTTTTAGAAGCTATCCTATTTAAACTAGATCTGCTTAGGGTTTCCTGTCATTGACCACCAAATCTAATCCTAATTCATTATCAGAGCCTCAGTTTCCCCATCTGAAAAAGGGAATAATAGTAGTACCTCCCAAGTTGCTGCAAAGATTAAATAAGGAGACACATCCACCTGGCATGGGGTCTGGAACACAGATGGTGCTCAACACAGAAGACAATGCTTGTACCGTAAGGACTCAATTCGACATCACTTGCTGATTATTCAGCACTAAAAATACAAACCTTAGGGACTGTGTAATGTCCCACCTTGAAGAACAGGAGCTAGATAGGCATATACTGGGCTATTAGAAGACTTGATGTCCAGAGTTTGCTGGTGCCACAGGGTCCTTCAATGGCAGAGTCACCATCTCTGTTTCCGAAGGTAGAATGTAGGTGTGGAGGGCACAACTGACCCGTGGCTCCTTAAGCAGTGCCTTTTCCCTGGCTGGATGTTTATCAGCCCCAAGAATTGGAGACTGAGGCCCGAGTGGTTCGTGGAGATTCTCTGCTCACAGTTTTGCATCGTCCACCACAGGAAATGGCTCAGAGCAGGTGAAAAAGGCAGAGGGACCTGGAGGCAGCCACAGCCGCAGTGACACTGCACCACTGGCAAGAAACTCCGAATTCTCTTCTTGAGACCCCGCAGTGTCCCCAGGCATCCTGCTGGCCCAGCTCCCATATGCAGAGACTGCAGCAAATGACATGGCTTTGGTCCCAAGCCATCTGGAAACAGAATAATTTGCTGGAGCAAATGTAGTCCTGGACAGTTCCTCTCCTTTGGGGGTGCAAGGGCAGAGCAGCCTGGGAAAGGGCTAGAGGCGGGAAGCTCTGGGCCACTGGCCAGGTCCCAGCCCATGCCACCCCAGCAGCCTTAGGAGCTGCAGCGTTGGACCACTCAGGAGGAGGTGGAGACTTTCTCTTGGGAAACACCGACAGCAGGATGCTTAGGAATCTGGTGGAGTCAGGGCTCAGCCGTCATGTCCCTCCAAAAGACTCTTGCCATCATCCTAATGTCTCTGTAATTCTTGCTCTTTGCAATTGACAAGGTATTGTTATTAAAATTGGCCCATTGGCTGAGGGGGACATGCATTCACTGCTATTCCCAGGAGAACTGGGCTTTCCTCCCTTGTCTCTCCCAATCACCAGCATTCTGTGGCTGTGTCAGGTTTAGAAAGATGTGGAAAGATCTGCCACCAGTGCTTTGCCCAAGGGGAATCCACAACTGGTGGGGACTATGCTGATTGGAGCAGAAGGTTGTGGTTGGGGTATTGGTCTCTGAAATGTGTAAAATCTCCCCGCAGTGTGGAGAGATGGGGGATTATCAGCTGGAGGCTAGAATGTTCCTCAAAGCAGAAACTGGAGGCCAGGAGGTAAGATCCAGGGAGGTGCAATTTCTTGCTGAATTCTTGACCAATTTTGCCCCCCCCCTTGTCTTCTTACTAACAGAAATGTTATTCCAGATGATACTATGTTCAGCTTAAAATATGTCACTTTCCGGGTTTCCTTGCTGCTATGGGTGGCCATGTGACATTGTTCTGGCCAATGAAATATAAATTGAAGTTTCTGGGTGGGGTTCTTAGCTTGTGAAAGGAAAATGGATTCACCCGTGTATTTTAATGCACATTTTGTTCTTATCCCTTCTCTCGTGCCCTTTTCTTCCTGCCTAGAATGAAGATAAAATGGCAGAGAAGCCATTCTGTGATCATGAGGACTGTGGTCCCATACTTTTGAAAGATTAGGAAGGTTAAAGGAGCCTGGGTCCCTGATTGCCACCTGGAATCATCGCCCCAACTCTGGAATGCCTGATTTCAGGCTTTTTTTTTGTTTTTCAAAACACGAGCAGTGTGAAGAGTGACTGAATGTAACACTGATGTTGTAGCAGACTGAGCAATAACTCTCAAACTCTGCTGCATATTAGAAACACCAGGAAGTACTCAAATACCATTACATCAAATCTCTGGAGCTGGGGCCCAAGCACCTGTTTTTTTTGTTTTGTTCTGTTCTGTTTAACTCCCAGGTGATTCTAATGTGCAGCCAAGTTTGAGAATCACTGAGCTAAAGCAGTGCTTCTTAAGACTTTCAGGTGCAAAAGAATCTCATGGGATCTTGCTAAAAATGCAGATTCTGATTCAGTGGGTGTGGGCAGAATCCAAGGATCTGCATTTCAAACAGGTTTTCTGCTAGTGCCGATGCTGCTAGACCACGGGCTACACCCAGAGTTACCAGGAGTGAGAGTATTGAGTTAGGCCTTGGACTTTTGCTATGAATCATCACCGTGACTCTGACTATGATCATCCCCTACTTCTGTCTTTGCCATCTCTTCCTTCTTTTTATTCATTTTCTTCTTTCTTCACTGTAGAGCAAGACCACCTGGACTTACTGAGCAGTCCCCATGTGCCAGGCATGAGGTACAGGGATTCACGAGTTCCATTTCTAATCTCGCTGACAGCTTGTGAAGCCACAAATCTTCTGAATCCAAAGAGATTTGTCCGGGTGCCTCTGATGCAGCCTGGCGTCTATGAGTCCCCTGGCATCTATTTGCAAGCCGATTTGCATGGAGGTGTTGAGCTTTTTGTTTTCCTGTTTGGGCTCCACGGGGAGGGAAACCTGGAGACAGCTGGAGAAGTCACAGGGACACAGGAGGGCAGTGTGGTGTCTGATCCTTGACCTGACCCGGTCATGCAGCTCTCCTTGATTCAGAGCTGACCATGGTACAGCCCCCGTGCTGGAAATCTGGAGATGTCCTGCTGCTCCTATAGCCCCTGAGGGGTTTGGGGATTTTGTTTGGTTGGTTCTGGAAACCTTGGAAAGACAGCAGAGCAGACATCTTTTAGGACATCATCTGCCCAGCATATACTTTACCATTGCTGAGAAGAGTCCCCAACCCAAGCAGCCAACTTCTGGGGCCATGTTTGTTCACGTCTCTGTTTCTTTTTGGATATAGGGGAGCAAGTTTGGTTTCCCAGCCCAGGGCAGCAGATCATTGATTTGGCTAAGCCAATCAGCACCTGCTGAGAAAATGGAGGAGGAAACAGATGCTGAGGAGCCCACAGGCCACATGGGGTTGGGGGTAATCACTTTTGGCTCTCGGGCACAGAGGCATAAAAATCAGATCTGAGAAAGAGGAAGTTCTTAGAGAGCATAAGATGAGAGAGACCAGGCAGCCACAGCGAGGAAAAAGTGGCTGCTTCCCAGCTATATCCTAGCCCCTGAGGGGCTTCACTTCTCCACGGGTTCTATACTGCTTGGACAAACTCCAGTGTCCCTAGCCACCCATGCTCCACACCTCTATTTTGCATGGGTGAGGACTTGACTTGCTCACAACCAATAGATTTGGCCAAGGTGATGAAAAGTCACTTTCATGGTCACATTATACTATGTAAGACATCTGACAGCAAAGTGACTCAAAGCTCATTCTCTTTCACTGTCTTTGAAGAGTAAGTGGCCATGTTGGGAGGCCCATGTGGCAAGGAGCTGAGGGCCAACCAGCTGATAGCCAACCAGGGGTCAAGGCCCAAAGTCTTATGGACACAAGGAAATGGATCTGCTAACAACCTGAGCCAGCTTGCAGGTAATTGTTCCTCTTCAGAAGCGAATGCAGCCCAGAGAGAACCTTGATGACAGTGTTGTAAACCCTAACAGAAAGACCCACTCAGTCATGCCTGGGCTTATGACCCCTAGACATTGTGGAATCACTCATATGTGTCATCTAAAGCCTCTAAGTTTGTGAAAATTTCTTATTCAACAATGGAAAACGATTATAATGCGATTCCCTATCAGTTCCTTGCATGTGGGTAAATTTCTGTGACTTGTAACTTGAACACTCTTGGCTGAGACAAGAATGAACAGGGAGCCTGGACCCGTGTTCCCCCAGAGGAGCTGCCCTGTCCACAACTGTGTAGCAGGGGCTTGAGCTCACACAGCTGCCACCGGTGGTGGAAGAAATGACAGAGAATAGCAGAAAACAGTGGGAACTATCTGAAGACTTCTAGAAATACTTGCAAGAAAGGAAAGAGGAAGAGTGTCATGGACAGGTGGGGGCTACTTTGGGTATGTGATTTCATTTTTATTTATCCTTCCTGGAATTTACTATGAATTTGTGTCTTGTATCAAATTTAGGAATGTGGTTCATTATTTCTTCAAGTATCTTTTCTGTCCCATTCATTCTCTCCTCTCCTTCTGAGATTCCAATTGAATATATGTTAGATCTTTCCATTGTCCTACATGTCTAAGGCTCTATTCTTTAATTCTCTCAATATTTGTTCTGTTATTAAGATTAGATTACTCATGTTTACAGATTCTTTCCTGTCATCTTAATTCTTTTGCTAAGCCCATTCAATGAAATTTTCAGTTGTTTTGTTTTTCAGTCCTATAATTTCCATTTCATTCTTTTTTGTAGTTTCTATTTCTCTGTTGTGATTTCTTATTTTTTAATTAATTATGAGTATATTGAGTATATTTGCTTTTGCATCACTGGGCATGGTTATTGTGATGGTTAGTTGTATGTGTTAACCTGACTGAGTTAAGGAATGCCCAGATAGTTGGGAAAACTTTATTTCTGGGTGTCTGTGAGGATGTTTCCAAAATAGATTAGCATTCGAATTGGTAGATTGAGTGAAGAAGATCATACTCATCAATGTGGGTAAGCATCATTCAATCCATTAAAGGGGAGCCCAGTAGAACAAAAAGATAGAAGAAGGGAGAATTCACTCTTCCTATATGAACAGGCCATTTATCTTCTCCTATCCTTGGACATCAGCACTGATTCTTGAGGCATTGGACTGAATTAAACCAACAGCTTTCCTGGTTATCCAGTGTGTAGACAGCAGATCATGGGACTTATTGGCCACCTTCATCATGTAAGTCAATTCCTGCTGTGGTTTAGATATGAGGTGTCTCCCAAAAGCTCATGTATGAGATGATGAAGAAATGATTGGGCTATGAAAGCCTTAAATTAATCGGTGCATAAATCCAATAATATGGATTAACTAGAGGTTAACCATAGGCAGGTAGTGTGTGACTTAGAATTTGGCCACAGGGTGCTTGCCTTTGGGGTTTATATTTTGTCCCTGGTGAGCACAGCACTCTCTGTGCTTCCTCATTGCCATGTCCTGAGCTGCTCTCATCCTCTATGCCCTTCTGCCATGACTTTCTGTCTCACCTTGAGCCCAGAGCTATGGAGTTGGCTGACCATGGACTGAACCTCTGAAACCATGAGCCCCAAACAAACTTTCCCTTCTGTACGTTGTTCTTGCTAAGTCTTTTTGTCACAGCAATGAAAAAGCTGACTAAAATGTCCTGAAATCAAAATCAATCCCCCCATCTATCTCTGTCTCTATCTCTATCTCTCTTTCTCCCTCACTATTAGATAGGTTTCTTTAAAGAATCTGGCTAAAATACAGTTACAATAGCCACGTAAAAATGCTTGTCAATTAATTTCAACACCCGGATCAAATCAGAGTCAGTCTTCCTTCTTGAGAATGCATTAATTTTGAAAGAAAATTTTTGTATATTGTGTAATCTTGGATTGCATTTTGGATATTATAGATGTTTGCTGTGGAGACTCTGTATTCTGTTATATTCCTCCAAAGAGTGCTTAATTTTTGCCTTTAGTAGGCAATTTGTTGGACTCAGACTGCAAATCAGGGGGCCTTGTTAAAATGTAGTAGTTCCTCAAATCTTAGTTCACTTTCTTATCCTTAGTAAAGTTGCTTTGCGTTTGTGCCTATATAGATATATATCATTTAGAAGTCAGAAGAGATCTCTGCTGAGCTTATGAAAAAAAAAAAACAAAAAAAACATGGGCTCCTTTTCTTTGGCTTCCTTCTCTCTGAACTCTCCTCTTACTTTTCAGGGGTTAGTTGTCCCAAACACTCTGGTTCTTCAAGTCAGAATGAATTCAGGGTTTTTATCAGCCTGTGTAATTTGGCTCATGGATGCATGAGGACAGGAGAAGATGGGTGTCTCAGCTCAAATGGAAAGAGTGATGCGAAATGTACAAGTCTGTATATGTAAGCCACAGTGCACTCAGAGCCTTGCACACAGCTTGTTTGAACTCTTCTCAAGATTTCTTTTGAGAATACCCAGTGTGCCACCTATGGTAAGGGAACATTTACCTGGTGAAGAGCAGAATGTTAGCAGAGCCCTGAGACTATCCCAGACAGAATCAGAGACCCCCCTGCAAATAAAGTCAAAGGACCTCAGAGCTGATCTACTTCAAGTCCTTCATTTTAAATATGAGAAAAACCAAGCTCCAGGGAAGTGGAATGATGTGTTCAAGATCGCTTGGCCATTTGTGGTTGACCTAATTCTAGTGTTCATGTTTCTTAACTTCTCACCCAACACTCCTTCTGCTGAGTAAACATAACCCCTTCCTACTCATCTGTCATTCTCTTCCTCTCTCTCCCTCTGGCCCACCCTTGCGCTACCACCACATATCAACCCCAATGACTCCATTGACCTGAATGGCATGGATGGGAGGGCACCCTCCATTGAGGTTGTAGTTCTCAATTATTTTGTTATTCCACAGTACTTGAGAAACATGATACATACCCACAAAGACCCAAGTAAACCCCAGTCAACACCATCCCATCAATGAACTGATGTTGCTGGATTCCAGATGTGGTAAGTATGCCTACCCCCTCTTACCACAAGTCGCCCATAGCACCCACCGTAGATACGAAAAGCATACTCAATCTTCAGGCTGGGGCAGGCCTGCTCACTGAACACAGAGGCCATGCCCAGCACATCCTCAAAGGAGAACACATCGTCATGTGAGAACACTTTGCAGATGCGGTCTCTGAAAGGGTTGACCTGTGGGTGGGGAGAAGGAGAGGGAGGGAGGCCTATCAGGGTCGGGGTCATGCTTCCCTGAGCCTCTCCCATCTGTCACAAGCACTCTGTCCTGGGTTTGAAAAGAAAACAGCAACAACCTAAAGACTCAGTGAGCCAGGACCCCGGGTATGATGGGGTTACCTGGGATGAGGGATGAGAGCCCTTACCTGACATCACTCTCCTCACTACTGCCTCCACTTGCCTACACATTCCAAAGGCTTTATTATTATTTTTGTGTTGTGTTTTTTTTTCTTATGGCTATTAATTTGTCTCCATTTTATGTAGAAAGCTTGGAAAATGAAAAGAATAGGACAAGCCTCATCTGTAATCGACTCCCTCAGAATAAGCCGCTATTGACATATTATTTAGAAGCAAGACAGACATGGGTTTCAGTCCTGGTGTCACTGTTTACTACTGAGTGACTTTAGTTTAGACAAATTACATAAGCTCCCAGAACCTGAGGTTTCTCATCTACAAGATAGGGTGGGATTATAACTGTATCTGCCTAATAGGATTGTCATGAGGATTAAGCAGGGTAGGTTTCAAGTTGCACAGTGTCTGATAAATACCAACCAGCAAATGAGAGCTGATAGTTGTTACCTAATTGAAATAGATACCATAATTTGCATAGCAATTTTCATTAAAAAAAACCAACTATTTCTCAAACTAAGTCCCCAAATGAGGAAGGGTGACTTTAGAAATCCTGGCTCCCCTAAACTGGGCCTGCTAAGCAAATAGCACTCCAGTTGCTTTCCTACCAGCTCCGATGCAGCTTGCTGAGACTGCTTGCTACTCTCTCTCAAGGCCCAGGAGTGGGCTTTGGGATAAAGGGGGCGGGGAAGACCTCATGAGGGTTTGGATCTTAAATGTCCCTCAAAGTCCCACTTGTTGAAATTTTGGTCCTCAGTTTAGCACCATCAGGAGGTGGTGAAATCTTTCAGAAGTGGGTCCACTTGGAGGTCTTAGGTCATTGGGGTGTGCCCTTGAAGAGGACAGTGGGAATCAGCCCCTTTCTATTGTTCTTGACTTGGCTTCCCAACTGTCATAAGGCAAACAGCTTCCTTCTCCACATGTTCCTGCCATGATGTGCTGCCTCCCTGCAGGTCCAAAGCAACGGGGCCAACCAACACTCGAGTAAAACCTCCAAAACTATGAGGCCAAACAATTCTTTACTCTTTTTAAGTTGATTATACCAGGCATTTTGTTACAGTAATGGAAAACTGACTAATACTGGATTTAAGGGGGAACTGCAGAGAACAATCTTGGAAATCTTTACAAGTGGCAAGTTCATCTTTGGCACCTTCCTCCACTGATTCTTAGTGCCCCTAATTCATTCTCATTTCCAGGAACTCCTTCCTCCAGTTGCTCAGGGGCCCAGCCCTTACCTGTTCTAAAATTATATCATCTGCTGGCAGATCTTATCAGAACCCAACTCTGCTCCCTTCTTCCAAAATGACCCCAATACCTGCTGCCTCTACCCCAACCAAAATCCCTTTTTTCTTATATGTGCCTCAGTGGATGTGAATGGCCACTAGTTCCTTAATCTTCCAAATTTCTAGGTGGTTGAAACAACTGTGGTTGATTTTTCTGAGTCCCCCTTTCACTGACAAGGTATCTCTTTAAGCTCCAGGCTTCATGCAAAAGCGTTCACCCAGTTCCTCTGATCCAAACATGTGTTGGCTGTCACCTTCTTTGTGGGCATCCGGGCTCACCCAAACCCCAGGGCTCAGTACCCCTGTCTGAAGCTCCTTTGGGCTGTACTAGCTTCAGTCAATGCTCAGCTTTCTGGTTTAGATTGCTTCATTTGTAGTGTGTGATTTTTTTTTTCTTTCATTCCTTTAGAACTCGGCTACATATTCAAAAGTGTGATCTTATTTTATTCATATTTCTACTTATTTGAGGTGTTTGGGAGTCATTCTGTGTCATCTCAGGTGGCTATATAGTTCTCAAACTAGTGAGCATCTAGTCACCTGGGGTTCTTATGAAAAACATGAATTCATGTAAGCCAGGTGCAAAGATTCAGCTGGGTGAGAGGGGTATGTTCTAGAGATTTAGATTTAGACTGCTGTACAGTCTAGTTTCCAATTGTGGGTTGTGTGCTTGAAAATTTGTTCAAGAGAGTGCATGGAATACACACACACACACACACACACACACACACTTGTAAGCTCTTACCCTCTAAGATCCTATGTTGGAACATCTGAGATGTAGCTCAGTATTATAGATTGAATTGTGTCCTCTCCACATTTCATATGTTGAAGTTTCTAATACAGAACACCTGAGAATTTGACCTTATTTGGAAATAGAGTTCTTGTAGGTGTAATTCATTGGATTAAGGTGGGGTCACATGAGGGAAGGTGGGCTCCTAATCTGACTGATGTCCTTATAAAAAGGAGAAATTAGGAACACCAAGACACACATTCAGGGAGAACTCATGTGAAGATAAAGGTAGATCTCAGGGTAGTGCTTCTGCAAGCCAAGGAATGGCAAACATTGCCAGCAAACTAGCAGGCTGGGGGAGCACCTCCCTTCTGGTGCTCAGCAGAAGCCAATGCTGTCCACACCTTGATCTTTAGACTTTTAGCCTCCAAATTATGAGACAATAAATTTCTGTTGTTTAAGCCACATAGTGTATAGCACTTTGTTATGGCCACCTTAGTAAGCAAAACACACAGAAATTTGCCATGTAAATAAGATCTCCAGTCAGTGGGAGTCCATTACATGTATTATATATACCTAATTTTATAAAAATTTATAATATATATACAAATCTCACAAATATATGTTGCAGGTGTGGCCAGGGTCCAGGGGAATCCAGGCTGACCTCTAGAACCTCCAGACAAGCTCCCCTCCACCTAGATCCTCCATTCTTTTACCTCAACATCCCCAGAAATGCTTTGTTTGATGTCTTCAATTAAAGCTGATAAGCCTTATCTACTGTGATGTGTTCCAGGTCACATGGACCAAGCTAAGTAGCTTTGCAGATTACATTAGCAATTTTTAACTACATTAACTTTTCTCACAAATGGATACGTGTCTTAACGAGATTCCTACCAAGGACAACACATTGGAGATAATGCTTATAATGCAAATTCAAGTGAACAAGAAAGTGTCAGCGCCATTCCCTCTCCTACTCAAAATACCAGTTTTTCTCTAAGAGATGGAAACCTGGGAATCCAGTCAGATATAACAAGAAGTCTCTGCATCAATTCTCTGTGCTCAGACAGGTGCAAAGCAGGTCAACAAGCTCACTGCCAAAGCACATTTTCATCCAGGAAATGAGATACAATCTTCCTTTCCCTGGGGCCTCCTCCATTGCTTGAGTTTGCTAGAAGTGATGGGAGGGAGATGGTTGCCAGGAGGCCAATTCATTTCTCCTTTGACTCATATCACGTGACTTATCTATGCACGCACACACACACACACGCACGCACCCCCTTCATTTTGTAGTGAGTGGAAGCTGGGCAGTTGGGGTGATATCTGATGGCAGTAAGAAAATAAACCAACATGGTGAGCCCGTTGGAAGATGCAGAGAAAATATTGTTGAAGATGTGGGAAATAAGCATTAGAACAGATTTCACACTGCAGAAGCTTTTCTAAATGTTAGGTAAAATACAGATGATTCCAGTATGGTTTACTGGATTCTGTTTCCATAATGAAATACATGAAGAACCACATGACTGCAAGCCACTAAATAAAAAGGTGTTAGGCATTGAAGAGTAAATTGCTTCTTTAATAAAAATGCCATTTATGGGTAAAATTGAGTGTAGTCATTGATGGAAAGATTGCTCCATGATGAAAAGAGAGGGTGACACGTGTGAAACTAATTCCCTATAGGATTTCCCGCAGGTTACTGCGGCTAAGAAGATAAATCCAGGGGACTTGGGATACAGCTCAGAGGTAGAGTGCTTGCTTAACATGCTTAAGACCTGGGCTCAATCGCTAGCACGGTATGCATGCATGCGCACACATGCAAGTACAGAAAATACAACAGAATGCATTGATATGGTTAGTTTTTCTAAAACAAAAGAGCGTTTAAAATATATTAAAAATATATGCAATGATTTGTAATCAGAAGGGAAAATCTCCTGGACCACACAGAGGTTTGCTGGTCATCTCTTGGCAGAGTTCCTAAAGGACCCATCAAACTTAAAGATGAGGGATATGTTTTCATTGCATAAAAAGAGGCAGGAGGATTGCAGATTCAAGGCCAGCCTCAGCAAATTAGCAATACACTGTCTCAATATAAAACATATGAAAAGGACTGGGGATGTAGCTCAGTGGTACAAGTGCTCCTGGGTTCAATCCTCAGTACCAAAAAAAAAAAAAAACAGACAAGTGTCCCAAATTTGCTGAGCTTTTTACAATGACAAGTGACTCTTTGATACCTATTATTTTGCTAAATAATTTTTACTAATTATATATATGTGTGTATATATATGTATATACACACATACATACACATGTACATATGTGTGTGTTGTGTATTTGTTGTGTTGTTCACCAAAATGAACTCAAATTTATTGGACTCCTCAAGGTAAATTAGGTGACTCATTTGAACATTAATTCTTTTCCAAAGAAACTCATGTTTTGAAGAGAATATTTTGAAAATGGCATTTTTGTTGTTAAAAACACATGGCATCACCTATAAAAAATGCTTACATCTGCATACCTGAAATATTAGAAACAGATTTTTGTAGCCTGTCTGAAAATTTTCTAAATAAAGCGTGTCAGTGGATTTTTGAGTACATTAAAAATATAAAAACGCAATGCTTTCCAATTAGCTATTGGAGTCACTGACTGATATAAAGGATGATAGACAATTCGAAGCTTAATTTCAATAAAAAGCATTTAGTTGGTGGATGGGGATAAAAATGAATGCCATGATTTATTCACGCAGCCCGTGGCACATTTCTTCCCTATGGACCAGTTAGACAGCTGTTAAAAATAAACTAACCTAGCTGCACCCCATGAATATG